CCTCTAAATTTTTAATTTCCAGCTCTTAAATTACAAGTGGTTTCTGTTTTCATAAACTGTCGCACTTTTCTGCTGCCCATCTTTGTCAATACAAAAGTTTACAGTTGAGACCGGCACTGATACGTCTACCACTTTTCATCGTCTTCAAGGAAAAGCAAGAGTCCCTTGGCTCACGCAGTTTGTAAGTCTTCAGATAACATTATCTGCGGCAACAGTTTTACCCCTGTCAAAGACAGTACTGTAATCAATGGTGACATAACCTCCTGCAATTCTCTACTTCTTGCCCTCATCGACTTCTACGCATAAATTGCGTGTAAAATGTTAACCAAACCGGACATTTTGCAGATTCGCTTTCAACTCCGGAAATGAGATTCTACCTATGGAATTTGCAAAACCAATGAACTTAACCGGAAGCAGCAAATTCCGTTACTGTATCGACCCACAGCTTTTGCTTCCTTGCGAACATCTAGTCGATTTCATTGTTTCGTGCTCATTCTGCTGCGTTTGTCGGAGGGCAAACCCATTATGTAGTTTTTGAGCAATAGACAAAACCTGCGAATCTTCCGTTCATTTAATTTCTTGTCACCAGCCAAGAGCCATATTTCTCCTCTAAGAGATGATCTTCCTCCATTCTGGCACTAAAGTCTTCAGGGAATATCGTGTGTACCGCCTTAAACTGCAAAGCTGCATTGTTTTTTTTTCCGGATGAATATCCAGCGTTATCTCTGGTCGCTGAAAGCTGGCGCACAAGCCGCTGCGTACTGTAATTTTTCTCCTGGATAGGGTAAACAGCATTACAGCTAACAGTGATGTAAATTCCCATGACATGTTTCCATTCGTAGTTTGTGACCTCCCAACACGATCGATGCACAAATTTATTTTATCAGCTGTGTCTACCACAACTTTTGCGTCGTTTTCCCATTTTGAAGAAGCCATCATTATCCACCTGATCCTTTGGATGGCTAAGTTGCCAAGGCGGATGTTACAGAGTTCGAAAAATAAATGACCTGCCATTCGGTGACCACTGGGTATTCTAACACAGAACGTAATCGCATTTATAAATATGCTTGGCTAAGAGCCATATCTATCTGTTTTTGAAGTTGTTCCATCGGCTAGTTGAGGGTCTTCTGGTAGATCTGGCGTTCACTGAAAACTCCTACCACCTTTTCCTGCTCTCATATTTTCCTTATCTTGAGGAAAAAAATGAATATAGAGGATCTCTTAACCGGTGTAAAATTTGTAAAAACACAGTGAGGATTTAAAAACGCACCCGTTTTTGAGCAATCGATTTGCCTCTCGAAAGTATTCATGTAAATCTGTTCCCATCAGCGAGAGGCAAAAAACAACAATATCCACCGACCCACTTTCCAGTGGTACCTTTTAGAAACAAGTAATGTAATAACTGCCAAATTCAAACAGATTCAAATATGCGATCTCGAAATCCCCAATAAGCATAAGCAGAGCCCAAATTTTTATAGATATTCACTTTTTAATGCACTTTTCTCCATCCCTTGCCCTTAGCCCTCTTTCTCGTACCTCAGCAATTACAGAAAACATAAAAACATGCGCACACACACACACACACACACACACACACACACACACACACACACATACACACACACACATGCAAATGACCAAACACGCGAGCTGAATGTTGTAAAATAATAGAACAGCTGGTTAATGCCTGACTTCAGTGCTGCAGTGCAACACGAACAAGCGGTTGCACACATCCGCCACCGTATGCATAAGAAAGACGGTGACCTCACTGGGCAGTGGGGATTTTTATGGATTTAATGCTGCGAATGATCAGTTATACAGATAAGGCGAATTGAGGAATGGTGTCTAGGTGATATTAAGTAAATCGAGGGAAGGTACAAAATGACCGAACCGGAAGGGCTATATTGAATTACACGAAAGTGGAAAAGCCAGCATTCACAACAGCGAGAAAACTAGCAGCTTCACAGATATAAGGAGCAGAAATGAGGCGGCATCTAAGCAAACAGATAAGCCACAAAATGTAATCAAAAAACATTGAATGTTATGTAAATGATTCCAACCTTGGCCATATTGCAGACGGTAACGCGCTCATTCGCAGCAACCAGATCAAATGAATGAACAGTGGCCAGAGAAGACATCGCTTTGGAGATCTTCGCATCGCCACAACCCATATCAGCAATTACTAAACCACTCCAAGCCAAACTGCGCAACCAATGAATGATACTACTGACCGGATTATACGACCATAACTTCGACTGCAATAGCCATCAATGAGCGAAAAGTACAGTAACCGATAATACCGACTAACTTGAAAACGGTGCTCGGGCTTGAGCCACCGGTTCGACATTTAGTGGAAGAGCCAACTTTTCAACGATCTGTTAATTTGTACCGATGAGAAACTAATACTGACGGATATGGCATGCCAGAAAGTCAACGACGCTTCCAGCCCGCTCAGTAACCCAGAATCGAAAAGGGGCAATCCGACTTTTAACATATTTGAGAAGCTACAGTTTTAGCTTTTAGCTGATTACAGATATTTCAATGAAATTTTAAAATTCCAATTCCAATCTGTTAATGGCGAAAACGATGTGCTGCACTTCGCACTACTGTACGATGGAAAAAACGAAGAAAAAAGCTAAATCACTGAAAGCTAAATAGAAAACGTTGTAGTTCCGGAGAGGCAACCAAGTGCTCTCAGCTGCACTGAAGGTATAGCGCTGCGCTGGGACAACATCTGACTGAAGTATCAAATTAATAAGCTAAGCAGTTTTGTTCAGGTACAGAAATGCCACTTGAAGCTGACAGTTCCAGCTGAATTGCTCCTTTTCAGCAAGTTCGTAAGTGGTGCTCTTTTTGCACCACTGTTAATGGGGCAATTTTGTTTTCGCCTTGTAAACTTCTAAAACCGCGCATAACTTCCGTATATTTTGAAGAATTTAACGTCTCATGATCGCCCAAACGACCAGCTATCCCTTTTCTCACAACGGATTAACCACTGACATCTCAAACACAGGTTAATTCGAAGCAAACAAACCTGCTTTTGATAGCCACGATGGTAAATCTTGAAAGCATGTGGATCATTGCGAAAGAATCCAGCCGCCTCATCGCCAGTCATTTTGCACAGCTGCTCGTTCACGTAACGAAATATTGAGGAGTTAAGTTCCTCCAGTGAATTGTCTTCCTCAGAAAGCGCTGTTTCGTCAGGGTCCACCGGCATAATTCTTTTCTTTTTCTTCCTTTTACGACTTCCACATAAGTTGTTAGATGTATTAGGAGTTGCGACGTCAGCAGAAACGCAGGTAGCTAAAAAAAAAAAACCGGCGAAAAAAACAGGCAGCCATTTGGACAGTCCCATAAAAAATGGCGCATATAAGTAGTAAATGTGACTGGTACTACGGAGAGCTGATAAAAAATAAGGCAATCGCCATAATCTAAAAAATGTTTATGCAAGGCACAATGCAGGGGGAAATGGCGCCCACTCATGCTGAACGAAGGTGCCGGTTACGACTCCACCAGTAAGAAAACCACTTGTTCATTTGTTTAGAAAATGAAATGGTACTGATACATGCCAGGGAGACGAAACCGTCATCAGGTTGCTTCCAAGAAATTCCCGAAAAAAGAAGCGATCAAAAGCTTTGCCTGCTGGCAGCTTTTACCATTCGGGGTAAATCCGAATGCCTCGACCCTTCAGAGAGCGAAGGGGCGAGCAGAAAGGAAGAGTGAACTGCTGACTAGTTTAAAGAATCGAGGAACAACTGTCTGCAGGGAAACATAGAGGCCTACAGTGTAGCAGTCTGCACCACAGTTCGATGAATAGCAGAACAGTGACGAAGAGGCAGTTTAATTTCTCTTTCTCCTTGTACTCACTCCTCCTCACGCCCGCAGTTCAAGACCTTGCAACAAAAAGGGTCCCAGCAAATATAAAGAGAAATAATTGGGCAACGCACGCGCTGCCCTTGTGAAGATGCGTTTTTTGCATAGTTTCTCGCAGTTTTTGTCGCTACCGGCACCAGCTTTTTCGGCAAATGCTTCTAGCTAAACAAATTAAGACTGGCCGCCAGAGCTGTCAGAAAACATCCCCTTAAAACTTCAGCTTTCTAGCTTCCTGAGTTAGGAACTTACTGGAAAAAAAGTTTCACAGGCTCGTGCGTGTTTACCACGCATACCCGAGAGTTGGGTTTGAGCTGAATGAAACTAAGGCGGACGGGGAATATCCTCATAAAATTACAGTCCTTTAGTTTTTCAGGTACTCGAGTTATCAACTTACCCGCAAAAATTTTGGCGGGATCGTACTCGTATGTGGGTACCACGCTCATCCGGAGTCTGGGTTTGAGCTAATTAATACCTACTTGGACGGGGAACATCACCACAAGATTTCAGTTTTCTAGCTTCTCAGACCCCCGAATTATGAACTTACCCGGAAAAAACTTTGGCAGGCCCGTACGTAGGTACCACGCTGGTATTGGCGCCCCTTTTTGGGGATTGGGGCCCGTACATGCATGTAGATCAAGTTCCCGAAGTTTCAGCCCAGTAGCTTTTGTAGGTTTTGAGATGAAAAACCGTGACAGACGGACACACAAGGACACACAGACAACTCCTCGTCAATATGCGTCTTCTGCATTGCATAGCTGCAAAAAACGCATAAAAACAGTAATGCGCCCTTCTGACCTATGGTTGTATCTCAGCGATACCGAAGCTCCAAAAATCAGCAGTTTCGGTGATCATTCAAGGGGCTCACGTACGGGCACGTGAAAACTATGGCGGGAAAATTCATAACTCGCGAATGAAATAAATGGTAACGCGCACCAGACTAGCCGGTGCGATCATGCGTTTTGTGCAATTCAGCCCATCGAACGATTGTCTGTTAATGATTTTCACTGCTTTGTACTTTATGCAAAAATAGTTCAAACGTTGAAAAACAGTTAAAAATTTCATGCACCAGCGTATGAAAGCTGA